GCAGCTGCAGCATGGGGGGCCGGGGCCCCCCCAGATCCTGCCTCTGGCCCAGCTGCCTTTCCTCCTTGCTCTGCAGGCGGGAATCTAAACTACCCCTACTCCTCGGCGCTGACTTACAACAACATCTACCCGTCTGGCCCCCACCCCATGGGCGGCTACCACGGGGGGGTGCAGATGGCCAGGGCCCAAGAGGGGGCCAATGGCAAGCGCCCCCCTGCGGAGGAGAGCCAGCGGCAGGAGCTGCAGACCCACGGTACGGTGGGCAGGGGGACGGCGAGGGCAGGGCGGATCCTGGGGGTCTGAGTGAGATGCTGGGGGTGCAGAGTGGGATCCCCAGTGGAGGGGGCGCTGGCCCGTCCCTGGGCAGTACAGGGGCCGACTCCCGGCTTTGCTTTCCAGCCCAGCACTGCAGCACGATGCTGGCTCTGGCGCAGCGGAGCGCCCGCGCCCTGCTGGACTACTCGGTCACCGCTGACCCCCGCATGCTGTTGGCCGCCCAGCGGCACCTGGCCGCCTCCCAGGACGAGAACGGAGACACGTGAGTTGGGGGGGCGTTGCTGGGGGGCGCGAGGAGGGCTCCGGCGTCGTGTGGGCGCAGCACACCCTTCCCCTCGTCCTCGGCGATGCCCGGCGGCCCCGCCCCGCGGGGATAGGCAGCTCTGGCAGGGCCCGTGGGCCTAGGCCACACCGGCGAGCTCCCCCTCGCTGGAGCCGGGGGGTCTCCCTGGCACCTGCCTGCCCTGGGCTCACAAGGTGCCTCTCGCTCCTTTCGGCCCAGGAAGCCAAAGCGCTGTCCGTGCGGGGTGGGGCCGCTCGGGTGGAATTCAGTCCCTGGCTGGGGGCCTGGGTGGGGGGTGCCCTGCCAGGAGATGCTGCTCTGAGCCCCCCTTCCTCCGCTAGGCCTTTGCATCTCGCCATCATCCACGAGCAGACGGGGGTGATCAGGCAGCTGGTTCACGTCCTCCTTGGCACCCACAGCCAGCCAGTCATCAACGTGGCCAACCACCTGCAGCAGGGACCACGCCCC